TCTGGGCAAGGCCCCAGCGGGTGTAAACCGGCCTAGCCCTATTGAGCTCAATGGAAGGAGGCCGATTCACACCAGCAGGGCTCTGCCCCCCTGTGCTTTCCTCTGCCCTGGGTAGTTTCCAGGAATCGCTATCGCCTCAGCATCTCCCTGCTACTGAGTAACCCCCGGAGATCTGGAGAACTCCCCCCCCCGATACTGTATCTGCCTTTCTGCCCAGCCCCTGCATCTCACAACGGGGGCCTGATCCCCCAGGTGGGCCCAACCCACCACTGATCTGCCCCTTGTGTCATCAATTCCACCAGCACCAAGTGGAGGTGGTGCCTGCGCTGCTGCCATGGTGACTTGGGAGAACTTAACCCCCCCCCCCCCCGCCACGCTGGCTCATGCTCACTCTGCCCAGGTGCCAGCCCTGGCACAAGACGAGCGGGTTTTTAGAGGGGAGGAGGAGAGGTTACGGGACCCGTCATTTTCCCAGACCTCTCACCATTTCCCCACAACTCATCACCCGCCTTTCACTTTTGCTCTTGATTTCGAAATCAGCCGTGCAACGCCTCACCCGGCAAAACAATGCTCGCCTCCCCCCACGCCCCCCGCCAGGTTAACTCATCCACCAACTCCCCCCCCGAAAGATACAAGGTGCCCCTCCCCCAACACACAGCCTCCCCGCCAACCCCTGGAGATACAACCAATCCCCACCCTGACCCCCAGCCAGCCATTTCTCCCAAAGCTCCGGGTCCCGATACAGGAGACAAAGGGCATCACGGTGCTGCCGACACTTGTGATTTTACCACCAGCCTCGTGACAGTTGTTGCTTTTCTGAAAGCCCCAGCTTCTGGACTCCTGGGATTCTGAGGATCTGGGCTCTCATTAAAAGCAAGTTTCTAACCTTCTGGATGGCAGAGTGGAGCTCAGAAATGTGACACCCCCCCACAGGGTTACGAGACCGCAAGGAACCAAAATGTTGCAATCTCACTATCTTTTTCAAGCCACTCCTGATTTTCGAGGGCCTGTCTCAATGCTTCAAGGCCTGGGGAAGCAAGGCCGGAGTTAGTATTACATGTATTATGGTAGCGCTTAGCCTGGGACTGGGTCCCCATTATACCAAAAGATGGCCCCTGGCAAAGAGGAGACAGTCCAAGGAGGAATCTGCGGACAGATCCCAGCAGCTCAGTTCCCACCCAGGACCGTAGCTCAGGACGCTGCGTGAGACTAGACACGTTCGCTACGTCCGTTCTCTCGTTAGAGCCCTGCCAGCCAAGTGGCGATGGGGAGAGATGCTGCCAGGCCAAGGCTGACACCCGGACACGAGCGCTGCCGGCCCCTCTCTGATGGCATGTTGGCGGCACTTCGGCCCCATCCAGCCCTAAAGCGCTACATGGGCATTCACAGCCCACATGGCTCCACCTGCTGAGAAAGGAGCTGCCACCAGCCCCATTTTACAGGTGGGGAAACTGAGGCACTGAGAGACAACTCACCCACTGTCTCAGAGCAAATGGCAGCTGGGAAGAGAACCCAAGAGTCCTGGCTCCCAGCTCCTCTCAACCCCCACCCCCCGCTTTATGAAACAAGGAAATCAAATGCAAAAAACAAAGCCACTGATCAAACAAATGGCTGGCACCAATCCTACCATCACAGCTTGTATTTATTAGCCATACTGCTATGGCACCAAGGCCCCATTGTACCAATTTTGGCACCTACAAGCCTTGGCATTGAGAGCCAATGACCCAAACAGACAAGCCAAGTGAAGGACCATTCACCCCATTTTACTGCTGTGGAAACTGAGGCACAGAGCGATTCAGTGCCAGAGCTGAGAACTGAACCTGGATTTTCCCTGTGCCAGCATAGCTCGTGAACCACTCGGGCACCTGTGCCACACAGCACCTGCTAGCTGGGCTGTGCCACACAGATCTACGGAGGCATCAAAGATAACATCAGCTACAGGAGCTCAAACTCCCCCTGGATCCAATCCTGAGCCCATCGCACGAGCAGGACAGCGCCTGCCTCCAACGGGAGCTGAGTTGGAACATGCAGTGCAGGATCCAGCCCCCAGCTGGGGACCCATGTGCCAAACTTGGGCATCTAAAATCTGGCCCCTAAATCCACATCAAGGCTCCTAAGATAGCTGGCCTGGCTGGCTGGTTCTGCCCAGATTCTGCAGGATCTGGGAATGCTCGTTATTAAGTGAATTACGGTAGCAACTATCAGCCCTGACCAAAATTGAGGCCCTATTGTGCCAGGGGCTGCACAGACCCAGAGCGAGAGACAGCCCCTGCCCCAAAGGGCTCCCAGTCTCAACTGACAAAACGCAAGTGGGGAAACTGAGGCACAGAGCAGGGAAGCGACTCGCCAAATCCGTGGCAAGAACCCAGGTGTTCTGACTCCCGCGCCGACACTCTGCTGACTAGACGGCGCTGCCTGCCTACGAATCGCAGCCCCTTTGTAAGTCAGGCTTCTCGTTTCAGGAGCCTAATCTGGATTGAAAACCAGACCCCACAAAGCTCTGGAAAGGTGGGTGGGCACAGACCCAGAGCAGCACCAATGTCTCCCTCTCCCTCCCTCCTTTCCCAGAGGGCGGCTGGACTGGCAGGGCCAAGTAGGGCAAGGAATGCTTCATTTTATTAATCACTTGGCACAACATGGACAGAAATATTTCTGAAAACGAGGCTTCTCTGCTGGTGTCACAGGCGTGGCACGCCCCCCCCCCCCCCGGGATGTAGGATGCACGGAGGGGCAGGGCACTGAGCATCCAACAGGATCCAGATCTTTGTACAGCCAGCCACTTAGACAAGAACTCACGACCAACACCCTTCCCACAGCTGTGGGGATAGAACCCAGGAGTCCAGGCCCCCAGCCTCCCCTGCTCTAGCCACTAGACCCCACTCCCCTCTCACTGCTGGGATAGAACCCAGGGTTGCTTCTAGCCCTGAAGGCATCTAAATCCAGGCAAATGCTCCTATAAGTGAAACACATAAGAACAGCCCTACTGGGTCAGACCAAATGTCCATCTAGCCCAGTATCCTGTCTGCCGACAGTGGCCAATGCCAGGTGCCCCAGAGGGAATGAACAGAACAGGTAAATGTCAAGTGATCCATCCCCTGTCGCCCATTCCTAGCTTCTGGCAAACAGAGGCTAGAGACACCATCCCTGCCCATCCTGGCTAATAGCCATTGATGGACCTGTCCTCCATGAATATCTCTAGTTCTTTTTTTAACCCTGTTATGGTCTTGGCCTTCACCACATCCTCTGGCAAGGAGTTCCACACGTTGACTGTGCGTTGTGTGAAGAAATACTTCCGTTTGTTTGTTTTCAACCTGCTGTCTATTAATTTCATTTGGTGACCCCTAGTTCTTGTGTTATGAGAAGTAGTAAACAACACTTCCTTATCTACTTTCTCTACACCAGTCATGATTTTATAGACCTCAATCATATCTCCCCTTAGCCGTCTCTTTTCCAAGCTGAAAAGTCCCAGTCTTATTAATCTCTCCTTTTACGGAAGCTGACGACTTCGAAGACCCCAAAGCAAAGGACCCCGACCCACATTCCAACCCGCCCCCTCCCCCTCCAGCCTCCCCTGAACCCCGGGACACCAGGCACCCAGCTCCTGATGCTGCAGCTCCCAGCTCCGAGGTGGATCCCACGCTCCAGCACCACCCACAGTCCAAAGGGGACGCGACTGCAGATGCATCAGTGGCCAGTGGGGGTGGGGAAGGTGACCCTGGAACTTCCCCTGCTCCCAAAGATCAGATCAAATCTGGATTGGAGGGGGGGCTTACTGAACCCAGGATGACTCGTGACCAGAAAAGCTGGGAAGGAGGGGAATGGGGGCATTTGGGGCACCTCCACCTGGGATGCGCCGACACTGCAGGCCAGGGGTAGAGCCAGGACACATGCAGGCAATTGCATCCAGCCTTCTGTCCTGTCATTAATCACTCAGGACTCGTCTGAGGGTTCGGAGGCAGCCCACAGACAACACCAGCACCCCCAGCCCCCGCTCTGATAGGGCCTCATACCCAACGATTCCTCTCTGGGGGAAATGCAAAGCCTGATCAACTCAAAAGGGTCCCCAAAAGGCTTTCAAACCTGGTCCCTGTGCCTCTCCACCCCTGGTATAAAGTCCAGTTGATACACCCCGGACAGCACAGTTTACAAACCCCGGGAAATCAGTTACCAAACCCTGCTTCTGTAGCCTGAGGGAACAGGGTCTAGTAGTTAGAGCTGGGGGGTAGGGGGGAGCTGGTTGTCAGGACACCTGGGTTCTATTCCCAGCAGGGAGAGGGGAGTGGGCTCTGGTGGGTTAGAGCAGGGGGGTTAGAAGCCAGGACTCCTGGGTTCACTTCCCAGCACCAGAACTATCTTGCCAGGAGCCTGGATAAACCACTTAGCCTCTGTGTCAAAGAAGGATCATCTCTCTCTGGAGTACAAGCCAGGATAGGACAACCTGTGACACCCCCCCCCCCCCACTCCCCAGTAACACGCTGCTCCCCAGGGAGTCAGAGACGAGCCCAGCCCAGCAGGACATAGAGCACAATCCTCTATTGCCCTGGACAGCGCAGCAGATCCCTGCCCCGCCAGACACAAGTGTCCTGGTCCCATTCACACCAGCACGAGATCCAGGAGTCACTCCACTGGAGTCACACAAGGGGAAAACGTGTGGGAGCAGAATCGGGCCCAGTTGCTCCAGATTTCCACCGGGGGAGCGGAGAATCAGCCCCCACCGGCACTGGCTGGGCCCGATCCTGCCTCACTCGGTCACAGCGCTGTAAAGGCAGCGGGTGTGAATGAGCGTCACTCCCCTGGAGTCCAGGCAGCAAAATTCACCAACCGGGGCCCCGCTCCGGCCCCTGGACTCGGAGCCCAGCCCGCGGGGATCCAGCTCTACCGGGGACCGGAGCACGGCGGAGCGACACCGGAGTCACTCCCCCAGATTGACACCCGGGGAACCGGGAGCCGGGGCCGAGCACATGGTGGAGCCGGGGGCGGGGCCGGGATCGGGGGCTCACCGAGGGGCAGCAGGCGGCGAGCCGGGTCCATGCTGCGGGGCGAGGGAGTCCAGCGAGCGGCGAGCACCGATCTGCAGCCAGAGGGCAGCGCCCCCGAGCAGGGCCGGCTCTATGGGGCCGGGGGGCCCCGCCCAGGAAGGCTGGGACCGGAGGGAGGGGGGAGTTATTCTCTGCTTAGCAGACAGGGCTGGGTTGGAGATCCGGCGCGGGGGAAGGAGAGCGGGATCGGGGGAGGGGAGGGCTGTGTGTGGGGAGATGGGAGGAGGAGACCTCGGGGGAGGGGGAGCCGTAGGGGTGACAGAAAAGGGGGGCAGTTGACAGGCCGGTGCGGGCAATATTTTAACCAGGGGTCCCACTAAATGACAGACCCCGGTCTGGGCTGAGCCCCCATCCCAGGGGGGCTCGCGGGGGCGGGGTATGGATTCGGTTCCCGTTTACACAGTTGTCCCCAACCAGACAGCGACATGGGGCAACTGGGGCGCCCCAGGGGCTGCTACAGCGGGTGTCTGCCCAGGTCTCGAGGTGCAGAGTGCGGGGCAGAAGGAGCCCCCCTTTCTGGGGTTAGCAATGGGGGAGACCAGGGGCAGAGGTGCCTGGGGAACACCTGAAGATGGGATGGCGCAGGGGGCTGGATGGGTGTGGGGTGCTGGATAGATTGATGGAGGGGGGAGGGGGTGTGGCTGGAGGGAGGTTGGGAAGGTGAGTGGATGGAGGGGTGTGTAGGGGATTGAGGGAGGTTGGCTGGGAGGGAGGGGTTCGGTGTATATGAGGATATCTGCTTTGGAGACCAACGTGCTGGGCTCCCATCCAATCTGACATACCACAGACACTGTTCTAAACTCCTCAGGCCCGGGGGACCCTTCTTTGGACCAAAGACACCCCTACCCCGGACGCATCCCCTGAGATGGCCCCAGGAATGACCCAGCAGGGCCCGTACCAGCCCAGCCCCAGCCCCAAGCTTATCTCCAATCCATGCTACCACTGCTCCTGTCTGTGCTGCCCCCCCCCATACACCCCTGTTGTCACCCCTCGTGCCTCCTGGAACGCAGCCCCAGCACGGTGCGGAGCCCAGATTAGCAGGGTCGGGCAGCCGGGGGCTGCTTTTCCCCTTGGAGCGCAACAGCTGAAGAGCTGCCGACATTCCAGCCCAGCTGGGGCCAGATTCAAAGCCCATCCAAGTCCCGGGAACAGCCCCCCCAGTGCAGAGACATCCCGGGGCAGATCTGTGCTTGGCTGGGAGCTCACGACCTGCACTCACCCCCACCATTACCTGTAAATCCCTTCAGTCTTGTGTTGTTAAGCCGGGGAACTCCCTGCCACAGGAGAGTGGGGAAGACAAGAGCATCCCAGGGATCGGAAAGGACTGCAGTATTGATACGGGGCAATGCGGCTGTCCAGTGTGATGCTCTTCGTGAGGAGAGAGCGATGGTAAAGAAGGGACTAGAACCCACAAGTCATGATGCCAAGTCCCCCTGCTCTGCTCTAACCACTAGACCCCACTTCCCTCCTCAAGCTGAGACTAGAACCCAGGAGTCCTGACCCCCAGCCTGCTCTCACCCCACAGGCTGCCTCCTGCTTGGCAGGGTCATGCCCTTTGGGATGTGGGCAGCGGTTCAGGTCAGGTTGCTGAGGCCCTGTGGCTGGAGCCCGGGGGATCGTGTCACTGCGGGGATATCCTGGCCACCCCTTGGGCAGGCACCAGAGACGTCATGGAAACATTGCCCCAGCAGAAACAGGAACTGGCGGGTGAGATCAGATGGGGGATGGGGGTGGGGAGAATGTCCAGCTGTGGGGCACCAGGCTGGGATAGCAGGGGCCTGTGAGTCAGGACTGAGGGGCATCAGCAAAGTTGGGGGACAGGGCTGGAATAGCGGGGGGGCTGCGGGTCACAGTCCTCCGCCCTAAAATACTCTGCAGAGCTGGGCAGCTCTGGCACAACCCAACCCCCCTTTGGACCCCCCATCAATACACCCCAACCCCTGGTACCCCCCAAGTGTACTCTGACCCCCCCACCAACAGCTCAAATACACCCCATCTCCTGCCCCCACATTCCCCCCCCCAGCCCTCTCCCCACGGTATTGGGGGTCAGGCCCCAGCAGCAGGGCTCTCCCCAGTGGGAGCTTAGAGGCCGGGTGCCCGGGGCCCTGTGTCCCATCAGGGGCAGGTTTCCTGATTGCATTGTCATTCTGTGGAGTTCCTCAAACCCCCTCCTGCCCCAGTCGGCCCCGGGCTTTTTCCAGGGACAGTTTCATGCCAAGGGGATCAGTTTCCCCGGCGGGCCTGGATTCCGGGGGGGTGGGGTGGGAACTGGCGCTGACCCTGCTGCTCCGGAACCAGGCAATAAACCACAAACCAGCCCCGGCCCCAGGGATTCATGCTTCGCTGGAGCGAGAGAGGCCGACAGTAAAGAGAGACGAGCGCCAAACGCTGCGGCTAGGCCCACGGGCCCGATCCTGAGATGGGCCCCCAGTGACTACAGAGGAGAGGGGATGTGACCAGGGCAGTGGGGGCAGCACCCCCAGCAGCACAGCGCCCCCTGGTGCCAGGCTGGGGTGTCTATGGGGAAAGGGCACAGCCAGGACACAGGGAACGGCACTCCAGCAGCACAGCGCCCCCTGGTGCAGGAGCTGGGGGACAGGGAAACAGGGCATCCCACAAACATGGCCGGGGGCTGCAGTCTTTGGAAATCAGAGCCACAAATTGGATCTATCTACCTGCCCGGAGTAGGGTCTAATTTTGTCCAGCATCTTCTACGTTTCTGGTGCAAATGACAGACGGGAAATAAGGCACATTTTTAACAGTGTGGAGAACAAAGCCTTGGAACAACTTACCAAGGGCCATAGTGGATTCTCCCTCACTGGCTATTTTTAGATCAAGGCTGGATGTTTTTCTAGCAGATCTGCTCCAGTTCCCACAGGAATGAAGCCGGGGAAGTCCTGGGGCCTGCGTTATGCAGGCAGTTGGATGGGATGGTCACACTGTCCCCTCTGGCTTTAGAATGTACGAACGGTGCTAGGTGCTGTACAAACCCACACCCAGAAATCCAGCCGCCCATCGGCTGTAGATGAAAGGAAGGTGGAGGTTTGTGTCTCCTCGGTGCTGCATGTGGTTGTCACACCTCAGCCCCTCAGAGAATCACCAGCGCAGCTTGCAAACCAGGCGATCTTCTAAAATCAGAACCACTGGGCTCTGTTCATTTGCCATCTGCCTCCCAGTCAGTTTCCAGCCCAAATTGAGTCATGCACAAAGCATCATGGGGGGTGCCCCACTTATCCCACTGGTCAGCATGTCTTCCAGGATGTGGGAGACCCAGGTTCTAATCTCCATTCTGCCTGATGCAGCACAGGGCTCCCAAGCAAGCACCTTATGAGATATTCAGAGCTGGGGTGTTCTCACCCTCTCCTGTTGAAGCCGTTCTCCTCTGTAGAAATACTTAAATCCACATTGGAGCACGGGGCCTGGACCTGAGCTAGCAAGTAATTCTCAATTGCAGCCCAGAGTTTCCCAGAATGCACTGGGACAAACTCCGGCAGCAAGGAGTGGAAAAGGCCGCTGTGTGGACACCAGCCTGCGTGTTGTTAGTAGGTCAGCTGAGAGAGTCACAGCCAGGGCACAAGGACTGGACACGAACGCGTCTACTGCAAAGCAATGGGCTTAAGGCAGTTGCAGTGTATTGTGCTTGCACCTCTATAGTTGCACAGTGCCCTTGGAGCCTAGTGTGGTTGCACTGGTAGCATATTGTGTTTGCACACTTGCACTTTCAGTGGGGTGTGCTTGCACGGCTGTCGTTATACTTGTGAGCTTGCCAGGTTGTCATACAATTCCACTTTCAGCATAAAGGTGCTTGCAGTTGCACTGTTGCATTTGCAGCGTATGGTGCTCGCATGGTTGCACTTATAGTATAGTGTGCTTGCACAGCTGTGCAATTTTCCTTGCAGCATCGTCATGCACAGTGGTAGTTGCAGTTACACTGGGAGCATTGCGTGCTTGTACGGTTTTAGCTGCACCATTGCACTTGCAGCATTGTGCTTTTGTACAGTTGTAGTGGAGCTGTTGCACCTGTAGTGTAGCATTTGTACAGCTGCACCATTGTACGTGCTGCATTGTGCGCTCGCATGGCCGTCGTTACCCAGGTGTAGTTGTGCTGTAGTGTACTTTCCTGGTTCTAGTTGCATTTGCAGCCGATTGTGCCTGCAAGGTTGTAGTTACGTGGTGGTTGCACTAGACCTTGACAGTTGTCCGGTTGTACTTGCAGCAGACTGTGTTTGCACAGCTGCAGCTACAGCATGCTTGCACGGTTGTCGTCACACAATTGCATTTGTGGCATCGTGTGTTTATACAGTTGTACTTAACCTAGAAGTACAACCTGTTCCCTCAAACCCACGTACCCCCGCAGTGGCCCCGGCCAGTTCCTCTTTCTTATAGAGCCAATGGGTGCCCGGTGGGGGGAGGCGGGGCACAAGCGGGGCAGGCTGGAAATAGCAGCATTTATAAGGCCGGCACCGACTGAGGAAGTTGCACCCAGAACGAGAGAACGAGACAGAGGGAGCAAGTGAGAGAGAGCATGACAACATCAGCCTGAACCATGTCAGTGCCTCCGTGAGGCCAGTAACAGCCAGGGCTAATGGGAAATAATCACCAAGGCTTAATACTAATCAGATATTATATGTCACCAAGCAAACAGCTCCCCCTAGAGGCCAGGTGGGTCAGGCTCTTTCTGCTCTTGGTGGGAGCTGATCATTAACAGCACCAGAAGATGAAGTGAGACAAACCCCAAATCAGGAGATTTTAGTAGAAAACGATGAGATTGTGGTTTGGGGGGTTGTCTTTTGTTATTTTTAACTCCCCCTGTCCCCCCCCCCCAGTGTGTGTGGGGCCAGTTACAGGGTGGGAACTCCCCCTGTCCCCCCCAGGCGTGTGTGGGGGCAGTTACACGGTGTGAACTCCCTCCAAGGTGTGTTTTGTGAGGCAGTTACAGGGTGTGAACTCCGCCTGCCCCCCAGGGTGTGTATATGGGGCAATAACACTGGTGATTCTGCCCCACTGCAGGAGCTCATTGGCTGTTCATGCTGCAGAAGTTTCCAGCTTTGTCTCAATCTCCAGCATTGTCATCAATTAATTCTGGGCCCGCCCGGCCCCACATCTGCAGCTCCAGGGGCTCCTTCTACAGCCCCTTCCCCTGCC